CCGTCCTTGAGGAATTTGGTCTCATTATCTGATAGCGGCAGGACAGAGGCGCGCAAAGCTCGGATAATATCTTCACCGTTAAGATTCATAGAGGCCAACATACCAGCCACACCAGCTACATGAGGGGCCGCCATAGACGAACCAGACATGTAGACGTAGTTACTAAGTGGTACGGTGGAGAACACTCCGATGCCTGGAGCAGTCATATCCACATAGGGGCCATAATTTGCCTTTTTAGCAAGCGTATATTTATCGGGTGCATCCAAGTTCGTGTGAGTAACGCAAACAGATGTTGGTATGAGTCGGCTTAGCGTGCAGGGGTATTTACTGGTGTCGATATTCTGCCCGTCGTTCCCAGCTGCAAAGATCATAACATGTCCAGTTGCCCCTGCGTTTTTGTAAGCCTCTTCCAATATGGCTGCACCAGTATCAGCCATATAAGAATGTGAAGACACTTGAGCACCGTGCTCCAGAGCAAACTCGAAGGCTCGGAAAGCTAGCAGTATGTTACAGCTACCGGTATCATCACATATCTTGAGTGCCATCAACCTCGCTTGTGCGATTCCGCTGATCCCCAGACCATTATTGCGTTGGGCGGCGATAGTGCCAGCGCAATGCGTACCATGACTGTGACCGTCGGAGACATCAGTCGATCCTTCGACAAAGTTGTAGCCGTGGGAACCATCTGGACCCGTCCACAGGATATCGCGGAGATCTTCATGTTTATCATCAACACCAGAATCGAATACAGCAATAATTATATCTTCGCTCCGTGAAGCCTTGCCCGAGGCCTCGACGAGCTTCCAGGCTTGGGGAATTTCCATTTCCACTAAACCGTTCTGTAGTTGTGCATATGGGTCATCAGCACCATCCAAGACTTCCATCGTAACTTTACCGAGTCTCTCAATCTCAGTGCTCTCGAGTGTCACAGAGAAATTAGGCTCGCAAATGATGTTGAGATCCAGAGCATCACCAGCAGCAGCTGTGTATTCGCAGACTTCTGAGGGGGGCAGACCACAGATCTCGGTGAGAACGGCTTGAATACGGATATGGCTCATTGTGTCTACGGCCGAGTTGAGGGAAAGACAATCTTCCACCCTGGACGATCCAAGTCGACGACTATGTCCTGTGCGAGATAGCATAGCCGGTATATCTCGCACATCAACATTATCGGCTCCAGCCGATGACTCGGCCCTTGTGATGATAGCATTCTGACGTCTGGTGATGCTTAGAAGGGCAGCCTCTGTTGGACCGCTTCCAACGACCAGCAAGCTAGATATACAGGAAGTGCTCACGAGACGGTAGAGAAGTTGCATCGATAAAGAGTCGAAATTGCTGACTCTGAAACGCGCACGGCAGTCCGAGAACTCCAGACTCGGACGACCCATAGTAAGCTGATTCGCTTTGAGAATGATCTTATCCTGATTAAGACTGACACAGGCTGCATGAATAACTGAAACCTTAAATGCCCAGTGCCTAGACATCTTAATGTTTAGATGAAGCCTTAGTTATGAAATCGGAGGCGAAGCCGACAATCTGTCCTGTTCTTTCAGTGCTGTTCTCCAAATCGAAATGGCCAGCGCCATCGATAAGACGATACTCTGCTGAGGGGCCGAGCTTGTGGACATACGAAACTAACTGTGACACTCCCGTCCAGCAGTCCTCTGTGCCTGAAGCCGACGAGAAAATGACGATCGTCTATGTGATGCAGATGGTGATACCCATGATGAAGAGCTTTGGACCAGTAAACTTTTCCAGCTTAGAAATGCGACTCCCGAATAACATTCGCGCCATGTAACCGAAAGTGTAGCCAATACAAATGAGCGCCACACAGTTGTCGACCAGCGAAGCCGCACTGCCTGCTATTGCAGCACCCGCAGATGACCCGAGCAGGATAATCTGATGAGCAAGGCGTAAGGTGGCGGATCACACTCCCACCAATCACACCTGGGCGGTATCACCCTTGGGGACAAGGTTCTCTCTGACGTAGTTGGCCATGGCCACCACGTCCTTGACTTCATCCGACCCTGTGAAGGTGCTTGAGCCAGTGGAACGACCAATCCCGCGCATGTCGAAAGTGATACAGTTGAATCCCTCTCTAAAATGAAATCAATAAACTAGAGCTGGTCACAGCAGAAGACGGTACCGTTCAGAGAGCATCTTAGCTAGCGAGGCCATGTTTGCTTGCGAACCACCCATTTTCCCCCACGGATGCACGAGTATGATGAAGACACTCTCCCTACCTGATAAGTGGAGTATTTGGACGCGGACTTGACACCGATGATTACCCTCAGCGTGTGATCGCGGAGCCCAGATGATTCCCGCTAGCTCACAGCCATCTGCTGTGTTCACAGTAATCGATGTCCGCTGGACAGGTGTATAATCAACAATTTTATTAGCAGAAACAGCCTCTCGCGAAGCCTCAGTCATATTGAATGAGATATACTACGGCAGAGGATAGTCAGGCAATCTAGAGGGACAGCTGTGGACGGAATCATAAGCAACACTCTCAGGCTTCCGACTTGCAGAACGACGTACTGTTAACAACACTCAGTTCGTAGTTGCTGCAACTCACATATTCGGAAATGCACGCATGCACATCAGTAAACTCAACCGATGCAACGCTTGAACCACGATGATGTTGGATATTGATGGTGTAGACTATAAGCAATCCTGAATTATGGCGTCTCAAATTGAACTACGGTTCCCGACAGAAATTAGCTTTCGAAAATGTAGCGCACTTTGTGTCGGTCTGTCTCCGTGAGAAGTGGCTGTGGAACCATAGATACTCTTGGGTTATCCTGAATCCATGGGAGGAGCAACTGATCACGAGTAATCTATATTTGAACTCTCCAGTCTAGTGAGTCGAACTACACCTTTCAAACATGTAGTTCGCCCTTAAAACCATCAATTCCATCGGGACACGCGAACATGGAGGCACGAATCCAAACGGAAAGATTATATACGCTTTTAGAGCTTTCAAATTCGTCATAGAACGGTTCTATTAGAACATTCAAGTTCATCTGAGGCCTATAGGAAGTTCGGGGTAATAGGACGTTCGATTTCGAGTCCCAGGAGTCCAGATTCTGGATGCCGAACGTCACGAAGACCTTCCCGGTAGGAGTTTTCAATCTAAACGAATTGTCATTGAAAATTCTTGGTTCTCATCAGAGGAATGTGCTCTCATGAAATGCAGCACAATTGCTCTGATATCTGATATCGAAGAATTATATCGAGAATATCAGCCCGGTATGATATCGGATATCATATGGGCTGATATTCCCGGCGATAATCCTCAATTTCCCGGTTCTTGAATGACTCAGGGACAAGTGATGCCTTTTTCACAGTCGTGAACTGTCCGTTATTGACGAAAATCTCAACCCAGGTAAATATGAACTAGTGATATTCCTTAGAAGTGTGATGGATAACGGGTTAGTGATAAGTGCAAACGAATGGATAAATTGCTAGAAAGCAGAATGTCCGGTTATAATAGCAAACAAAAGTCCAACGCTCCACAAACAAACCGAAGATGAGAGTCTTGTGCTTGATGGCTGCCTAGGGGGGGATGTCGGCTGATCAAGGCCTTCATTGACTGCGTTCAACGCATCCAATTCCCCTAAATTTTGCAGAGAGAGCGGATTTTCAAGACTAGCAGTTCGAGACCGTGTTATAGAATCAGTGATGCTCTGCCCTGCCAAGCCTAATGTGGCAAGCACGGCCGCAACACCCGCAACTTGAGGCGTAGCCATCGATGTACCACTGAGAAAAGCGTACGAACCCGAGAGGTACGTCGAAAGGATATTCACGCCAGGGGCGACAATATTAACCACAGAACCGATGTTCGAGAAGGAGGCGAGAGATACAGGCGAGGTCGGTGTCGAAGAACTCGCGCCAACACAGAGCATAGAAGGAATCGACCTTGAGTACGAGCAAGGATAGGTTGGGGTCTCGTCCAGGTTCATTCCTTCATTCCCAGAAGCAGCAACCACAATATGGCCAGCGTTAGCAGCATTCCGGATTGCATTTTCGAAGATCCGGCTTGGCACATTACCGCCATACGAATGTGAGGACACTGCAGCACCCATCCCGACTGCATAATCGAGAGCCTTCAATGCGCCACTGAGAGGACCTGTCCTATCACTACCTACAAATTTCAGGATCATGAGTTTCACGTCTGCAACACCAGCGATACCAAGGCTGTTATTAGTCTGAGCGCCAGCTATTCCAGCACAGTGAGTGCCGTGGCCGTTCTCATCAGTAACGTTGGTATTATCATCCAGGAAGTTGAACCCGATAGAACCATCGTCTGGATTTTTCCAGAACTGATTGATCAGATCCGGATGGGATACATCAACTCCGCTGTCCACGATTGCCAATACGACGTTTCGCAAGCCTCGGCTGACTGAGCGAACTGCTTCCTGAGCACCTCTGAATCTAATGATCTCGAGGTTACCCTGACACGAAGAGCCGGGGTCATTGGTGCCGAGAAGAGGATTACCGCCGGTACAACGGGCTACTTGTCCTTCTGCAACTGTGCTCCTCCCGGCGAGAGGGGCAATAGAAACGTCAAAGTCGGGCTCACAGTCCACCTCAATGCCGAGCATGCCCTTGGCCTTCAGCAGATAATCCTTCATCTGCCTGGGACTCGCTTCGCACTTCGAATCCACAATCTGGACTCCTAGGGCCGACAGGTCGCGGACCAGACCGTCCTGTGCAAGGCATCGTTCACACCGACTGTCACCTTCGCTGAGGAAGCGTGTCCTCCCATCAGTGGCAGCGACGGCTTGCGCCATCATCTTCGGTACATGACGAACATCAAGAGGGACTCCACGATGAGATATCATAACAAGCGTGTGATTCGTCGTGCTCTCACCGGAGGATAGGAGATACAAAAAGAATAATAGGGATTCCAAGAACATAGCAACCATATTTTGTGGTAACAAAACTAAGAACAGAGTATAAGAGAGCCTTCAACCGAGTATCGTGCTGACGAATTTGTCAAACGTATCCGGTGAACCAAGCAGGACTGTGCGCATGCGTGCAACTATACACGCATAGTCATAT